GCATGTAAAATATATATACACATAAAAAAATATTGAGTAAAAAGGAAAATAGAAAAAAAAAACTACAATTTACAGGGTGATTTTTATGAAAATTCAGTTGTATGTTTGAAAAACGAAAATTAGCATAAAATTACGAGAAAACAAAAAAGATGTTTTCTTTTTTTTATATTTTTCAATTTATGTTGAGCGCCATATTTCATTTAAGAGATAAAAAATAAGAAAACATTAAATGGTTAATGACAAATTTTTGTAAAATAGTTTCAAGTTTTGCGTTGGCCAAGCAAAAGCGAGCAGTAACTCGCATTTGTTTAAATATTTAACAAGCAAAAAAAATATTATTGAAAAAATGTTGTTTCTGCGTGTGTTAAATTGCAAAGGTCGAAGCTCGTGGGCCGAGCAGAGGTGATTATTCAAATTTTTACATTTAGTTCAGACGAAACAAACAAGCTTTAAATTATATAATTTTTATAAAAATATATATACACAATGACATAAAATATACAAAATGAAAAAAAAAAAACAAGCAAAAAAAAAAGAAATTAAAATGAATACATATTTATATTAAACAAGGAACAACAAACAAAAACTCGAAAAAAATTATACAATACACACAAATAAAAACACAAAATTAAAAGTTTATGAAATGAAATTCAATGGACGCTAAAAATATTAACGAAAACATTTAATTTATATGATGTATATGTATATTAAATGTAAGCATATTCAATGTGTGTTTAGGGCATATATGTATGCATATATATATATAGATATATATGTATATGTATATATATATATGTATATGCATATATCCATAACGAATGATAATATAATGTATATGTATATGTTTTGCTTATGTACAAGTACATTTATATGCGCATACATCTATATATACATACATATATATATATAAATATATATATATATATATATATATATATATAAAATAACTATATATGTATGAGAAACTAAAACAAAATAATGCTGAATACGCAAAAATGACAAACATAATAATCGAGTATGTAAATTACATAGGTCTAACATCCGACGAAACCAAAAAAAGAATGTGTACAAATAAAAATTAAAAGAAAAAAGTAATAATTATATAAATATGCAACACATTAATTCACAGAAAACAAAAACAACAAAAAAATGGAAAAGAAAAAGAAAATATGCTTCAAATATATCTCAAACATTCACAGCTAACAATTTAGAATCTAACTTTAAAACTTACTTTTTGCTCAAGAAGGAGATCGCAAACAGTTTGTTTTGCATTAGTTCATTGCGATTTGCAATGAAGAGACAGAGACAGAGAGAGAGAGATGAAAAGTACATATAATAATGATGTATATCACACGGAGAGATGAACATTTATACTACATACTTACTTATATGTGTATCTATTATGGTTGTGCCGAGGCATGTAAGGGCGTTCCCCAAATACAAATACATACCTACGAAAAAAAACTTATATATGCGTAAAATATAAGCGAAATTCTCGTACTCAAGCTAAATAGAGTTTAACATTTTTCACCATCTTTTCGTTACGTTTTTCAAAAGTATCGTTTCCATTTTGTATTGTATTGTATAGAGGTTGTAGTGGATGGGTCGAAATTGCATTGCATCAAGATCGCTCGAATGGTATACCATTGATAGCTCCTCCATTGCCAGCCTACGTTCCCTTAGTTTTTGATATCTCCACATCGTAACCTGACAAACTACTCACCTTGTGTACCTAAAGTCCAGAACCTGACAAGAGTTACTTACATAAATACATATTTATCACAAATACCATACCATATACCATATACCATATACCATATTTAAATGTTGGCGCGCAGTTCTTGATCTATTCAAAACTCATTTTTAGTTTAGTTGCAGACCATCCACTGCTGCCCAAAATAAATCGAGAGATTTATGATTTCAAATGCATATATACATATATATATATATATATATATGATATATGTATATATTGCCGCCAACCAATATCAGTAGTTTTGGATACACTTCATTGCTCCACAATAAAATGTCGCAACGAAAATTTATAAAACAAATATATATACAAGAAATACTTAAAAAAAAAACAAATAATGATATAAGTATATAAAAACAATAAATAGTATTTTTTATATACTTAAAAATGGGATAAAGATAAAAGAAAACAGTTGAAATTATAAAAACCAAATAAAATTAAAGGTACAGGCGTAGACCTAGCTCTAGCTATATAAATATTAAATATAATAAAGTAAAATTGAAGGTTTTCATTTAAATCGTAAATTATTTTGTTACATTTAAAGCAAAACAAAAACAAATGATAATGTTGATGATGAAGAAGAAACAGCAACGTAAAGACTAGAAAAAATAAAACATTTTGTAAGCAAAAATGTGAGTTTAGATCGTGAGGCAGAGTTAAGGAAAAGTGTGCTAATAATATATAATATATGACAATTATATATGGAAATTGTTAAATGCGGTCGGTGCAGGGGCGCTTGAAGGAGACAAATTGATGATCGAGAGTTAAACTAAAATAAACTAAAAGTAAAAAGCGCTTAAGCATACAACAAAAGTCCATTTAGTATTTACTACATATTAAACGATTCACAGGCAAAGCACATTCATAACCAAACAAAATAAAACACATTTAAGAAAATGAAAGTTTTGCTGAACAAATTCTCAACTGTAGCTCTCACAATATTTTCGAAATATAACTAAATGTGCTGATTTATGATTTCCTTCGAGACACTTTCAAAGTAAAAATACAAAATAACAAGAAAAAACCAAGAAGTCAAGAAACCAAAAATATATATTGTAAACCACCTTTTCTCAAATACTCTACATGTCTCAATATCAAGCCCCTGTGAACAAGTTTGTGTGCAATTTAATTGGAAACACAAGCCGAATTTCAATACATTTGTATGAATCATTAATTTGTCCTTGTTTTGTCTGAACGATGCGAACTAAAAAGTGTTTAACCGCTCTTTTAATTCCACAATCACAACATCTGACAAACAAACCTCTAAAAGACAAAAAAACAAAAAAGCAAAAAAAAAAAAACAAAAATTAATATATATAAATATATATGATATTGCGAAATCGGTAAAGCCAAAGTAAAGACAATTTTAAAGATGGATAGCGTGTAAGCGCATGAATTGTGAAAATTGCAGTGAAAAATAAATAATAATAAATGAGAATTCATGTGTACAAAAAAAATGAAAACGTCTTTTGATTGCCCTTGAAAACCCATTAAAAACAATATTTATTTATTTTTTACAATTTCCTTAATGGTTTTTTATTTGTTTTGTTTTTTTAATAATTTTTTCTTTAGTTTTTTGTCTTCAGTTTTTATCGTCTTCGGCTCTAATGAAAATTACTAAATTCAATTATTTGCATGCCAATAAGAACTAAAATCTTGAAATAGCGTTTTACAATTTGTTTATTATTTATTTTAGATTCTTTTAGTTTATATTTCTCTAGGCTCTAATCTATATAACTGTTATAAAAAAAGAAGGAATAAAGTCAAGATTTCTAAACTTTTCGAGTTAACTGCAACTAGAGCAAAGGTATTTACCAAATAAACTAAACTTTTGTTTTCTTTTTCAATATTGGAAGTGTTTTTTATTAATTATTATAAACATAATATTTCATAAAATCTAGAACATAAAAAATATATAATAATTGCACGAAATGTCTGTTGTCTTTTTATATAGTTAGACCCCAACCTTACGAGTTATGTGAAAGCAAACGAATTTCGGATAGATGTGGGAATGCGGCGCAGGGAACTGATAAACAGACGGCAGTCGGTTGCAACTGACTGCGCAATACTCGCTCAAGCAATGAAAAACAAACAACTAATGTTTTTTGGAATTTGTACAAGAAATAAAAACTTTTGATTAGTTCAATTAATCAGGTCTGTAATCTAGCCAAAAAAGAGAAAGGAATATTCAGCTTTCCAATTCACACTTCCCACCGTGGCCCTAGCAACCTATGCCTAACAGCTTTAGCTGAGCCACAAAACAAATATACTCGCTTCCACTGCATGAATGGGTATAAAACATTGATTAGAATTGGATGCACCTGTTCTTTGTTTTGCTACTAATTGGATGGAATGTTCTTACTATATGTTCTTTGTGTTCTTCTTCCTCCTTTGCAAGTTTAATTTATATATAAATTTAATAATGACGTTTTGCTAATTGTGTATACAATCTCATGTCAAAAACTGCGCTCAGTTATACATATATATATATATACCTTGATATATATATATATATATAGTTTGTATATATCGTTTTGTATTTTAACTTCAGTTTTCTTTTGTTTTGCTGATTACGATTAATTTGTAGGCTGCAAATGCTAAGAAATTATGTTTGATGTTTATATAAATATATTTTTCGTTTAATTATTTATTGGTTTTGTTTTTGTATTTTGTTGTGTGTTGTTGTTTTTTGTTTGTTTCATTTTCGCCATATTTGTCATAATATAGTACATATACATAAATTGAATTTTGTATATTTATAAACTGCATTTGTTGTTTTAATTGTGTTTTGTTTTCTTCTTTTTTGTGGTATATAATTCTGTTTCGCTTGTTTTTTTTTGTTTTGTCATATATATATATATATAAATTGAAAACTTAATTGTAATTGTAAAAATGTTAAAACTAGTAATATAATTTATAATTAATATTAGCATAGTTTACGTTACGTTTATGTAATTTAAAGCAATAACAAGCCATTTTCATATAATTTTTGTTTTTTCTCTCTAATTTGTATGTTTGTTTTTTTGTTATTAAATTTGTTAAATAGTTTTGTTTTGTGTTGCAAAAGTATTCGGAATTACTAATTACTGCAAAATTGCTTCATTATCTTTGACGTAGTTATGTTTACTATATAAATTTAATACGAATTTATCGTCTTTCCAAGTATTTATTTGTTTTTCTGTTCGTTTGTTTTGTTTTGTTTTGTGTTTTCGCAAAGGTGGAATATTTTATTTTGTATATATTATATATACGCTTTATTTGATTCGTATTATAATAGTATTACTTTTACTTAGTTGACTGCACAAAATTTACAAAAATTACGTCTTTAACTCGCCAACGAGAGAACCGACACCCTTGGAGAGGCATTTAAATATGTATATATATACATATACATATATATTTATATATATATGTCTGTATCTCAAAAATTGCACATCCGACCGGTGGGCAGGTGTGGGCAGACACCTGGCACCGCATCTGTATTTGTGTGTTTTCGTCTTTTCTTATCCACGGATGCCATATTTAATGAACCCGATTGTTAGGTTTGTTTACTCGTTTAACATATATAAAAATATGATTATAATTATTTGCTAAAAACCTCTAAAACGTATGCCATGTTGAAGGCATTTAGAAATTGCAAAGAAGAACATCACCAGACAAGATTTATGCTGTTGCTGTTGCTGTTGTTGCTGCAGTTGTCAGCCGGATTATTACAAAAATGGTATTAGGCGCGCGATCTTGAGCACATTTTCCAGAAACGCGCTCCACAAATCATTTAAGCGCTTCGAGCGTGACATAAGAAAACGCCAGGTGAGCAGCACAGCAACCACCTTTATCAGCTGATGCAGATAGTACAATCTATAATGATTGAATACAATAAAGGTCAAATCAATTAAATTGCAACTCGAATGTGATGTGAACAATTTGCACATACCTGACCATACGCTTTCTGCTGGCGGGCAGCGATTCGGGACGCTGCTTAAATAAAAACTCCCTAAAGCCCAAAACATAGCGCTCCACATATTTATCCCAGTTTATGTTGCGCACATCAAATACAAATATCTCACGATCCTTGGGACTGAGCGTGTGCAGCAGGCCATTCACATTGTCGTCCTTAAAACGCCATTGACGCGTGGCAAAATATTCTAAGCATTCGACAGCTTTGGCAATTTTGTTTTGTACGTTGACAACACTGAAACGATTGCAATTGCATTAGTATTGAAGCGCGCTGCCAGTGTGTGAGTGCTCAGCTTACAATGGCTTCTTGCCCATAATGCGCGCCACAGCATCCAGTATGTGAGCTGGTAGAAAATGTTTTAATATACAGTTCAGCGTGTTCATTGGACGATTCATGCGCAGGTCACCAGTTGGATACCACAGACAGCCCTCTGAAAACAGAATATAGAGTTCCTGATCAGATGAGATCTCAGTTAGGAGAGAAAGAGACCTACCCAAGGGATGTTTGCGCACACTGGACATGGCATACGTGACAAACTCAGACCATATGATGGGATTACGTTGGCCGGTACAACAATTGTATATGAGTAAATTATTGGATTTACGCGTCGCTGTGCGCCAGGCAGCGGCAATCATTAAATTAATCACAATATCAACAGGTACCATATCGGCCACGTAGTTCTTTTCGCACATCATTGTACGGAAGAGGCCCTTGGCCAGCGCCGAGACTAGACCCGTTGGCCCATTAAAGTTATCCACCCAACCGGCAAAGGGCTCATTCAGGCTGGCAGTCACTGTAAATGCAGTACATTTCGTTAAAATATAGTTGCGAATCGCATGGTCTGCAAGATACATACCAATTGAGGGTCTCACAATGGCAACGGGCAGGTTTCCAGCCTCCTTAAGTAACATATGCTCCGCTAAGGCTTTTGTAAATGTATACGTATTGGGGCGCTTGCCAATGAGGCGCGGTGTCAGCTGTGAGAAGAAGATGATCAGATTAATTATTTAATTACATATTTTCATGTATATACACACCTGATCAAGTATATCCTCCGGAAGCCAGTTGATTAATGAGATGATATCATCGGGATTATAGGGTGGTGCATAGATAACCTCTGATACATCGGTTCTATCGCAATTGCAATAGGCAGTGGATACATGAATAAGTGCCTGAAAAAGTATTATATAAGTAATGGGTTGCCTATAAGTTGAGCTTAGATACACTCACGTCTAGGGACATCATGCGATGACAGAGTTCGACCAACCGCTTTGTGCCCAGCATGTTGATTGTGACTGAAAGCTTGAGCTTCTCATCGAATTTCACAGTGGCAGCCGAATGAAATACAACGGAAACATTGCGACAAAGTAGGCTCTACCAAAGAAATAGAGAATAGTTAGTATTGACTCTTTTCATCAGCGTCATCATCATCAACACCTACTTGATCGCTCTCTGAGATGCCCAGTTCCTCCGATGTTATATCGCCGGATATGGGTATGACTTTGCTTAATTCCTTCGGCTTCTCGCGACGCAATGATTCGAATAGCTAATAGTTGAGCGAAAATCTTAGTTAATTAGAAGTTGATCTTGAATTTGATTATTATAAATTTAATTTTACCGGTGCATTTAGGAGTTCCGTAAGGCGCGCCGAAACCTCTTGGCCGCGCTTCGGTCGTATCAGCAGATATATATTTCTTATATCCGGACATGAACGTAACAGTTTCTCAACAAGCACCTGGAAATGGAAAGAAATAAGCGAGATGAACAAGAGTGAAATATGTATTGAGAGGCTGATTGGCATAGGTATTGACAGACTGACAAACTGATTAGCTCAGCAGTTGATCAACTCATCGATTTAACTTTTGATTGATGCTGATTGACTAACTGTTCGATCAAAGAACAGTCAAGTGAAAAAGCTACAATACAAGTTATAAGTTACCATTTATGATACATGAGATCATAAAAATTAAGTGCAAAGTGAAAAGCATTAGCAGCTAAAGCTGATGCAATAAAATTAGCATTTCCTAATCAAAACAACCTGACGTTTGCTGGTGTCTATTTTGTAAGAATAAACTACGTCTCAAAACACAATGTGGGGCACTTTTTTGAAGCACTTTCTGTTGATTAACCAATTTGAGTACAGTCACTTCTGGGCAAACAGAACATATTCATTAGGCCGTAAACTATAATTACGGTCAGTCAAGCGGAGCTCGCGCCCTTCAGGCCGTTGTGTCAAGAGTTGAAGGGGCCGCTAAGTGAGCAGTCAAAGTACACTGAATGAATGGATAAACACCAAATCGAATGTTATCAATGGCCATTCACGAAGGACGTTGACTGGATGTGCACGCAGCCAGACACGCCCCAAATAACAAAGTGAAAATTGTATTTCAAATAACAAAAGAAGACAGCAATAAAGACAACAGGGCGGCGCAGCTTGGGGGCGTACTCTATTGTGACGTACAGGTAGCAGGTTATGGCATTTAAATTACAGTGCCTGGCAACTAGATTACAAAATCGATGCGAAACAGCATTGAGCGCTTACAATACAAACAACGTTTGCCACACTGTACAATTGAGTGGCAGTCTGAGCGGCACCGGCGCCAACGATTACATGTCATAATGACGCAGGCAGGAGGCATGCAACCAGCACACACGCACACATATGCAAAACAATGGCTGAAAATTGGCACAACAGCTACAGGATATGTTAGGAGTCAGAGTGATGTGTGTGTGTGAGTGTGTGTATGAGGAACAATTAGAGCTTATGTGACATGTGTGCGAGTGTGTGTGCATAGACATGCCAGTACGATGAGTCAACACCAGACTTTCCGGCAGAGATGCGACACTCGACATCTGAAGCAGCCCACTCACACACCCCGTTTGTTGTTTGTCTGAGATGTTGATTTGCATGTAACTAAGTATTTTGAGAGTGCAATAGAATAACCTCAATTCGTTGCCAGGCGTGGCCAGAGTTCAACACTCCGCACGATGCAAATAACGCAATTGCATGCGCCGCACGTGGCGTATGCGTGATGAATGGTGCGTGCAGCCCGCTAAAGTATGCAATAAAAATTGCTAAGGCCTAGCTACAGGCGAGTTTGAGTCGACGTTCAAACTCTAGTTAATATTTAACCAGTCCTCGCAAAAAATATAGTCCAATCACTGTGTAACATGAACATCGATTTTTCGATTACAATATACAATCGTAAAATCAGACACGACCTAATAGGGCAGTCCCGATTTCAAGGACTGAGTGTGAAGTTATTCGATTGTTTATTTTATTTTAAGAAAGCTAAACGTCAGCAGAACAATTATTCGATAACCGATTAACGTTGTTCTTTAACCAATTAGGGATTTTTCGATAATGTATTAACAGTTATTCGACAGCAGGCTTAAATAATTGTTACCCCCTGGACAGTTACAAGTGACCAATTATTCGATTGCTTAGCAAAAAGCAAACATTCGATTACTTTAAGAAACGATATCTCGAATAGATCATTCACAATTTTCATAGAGGCTTAACGATTCGATAATCGACTAACGATCATACGATACTAGCTTAACGATTATTCGATAAGCAATTAACAACAATTATCGATAACCGATTACTCGATAATAAACGGAAATAACTCCTACTACTATGTCTCTCCCTGTACTCCCACCCTATTATCAATGCTAAATACAAAATATAATCAATTAATAGATAAACTCACCTTGCCCATAAAGCCAGTGCCGCCCGTAATGAAAACGCTTCGTCCAGCGTAGAACTGTCCGATGGGCACGTAACTGGTATCATCGACTCTGTAGCGCTCGTATGGTGACTGCAGGCCCCCATTGCTGGGCAGCGCTGTGGCCGGCGCAGCGCCAAGCAGAGCCGCATTGAGGCCAGCTGCCGCACCCGCACCACCACCGCCGACAATACCACTGCCATTGCCCGCACCACTTCCGCTGCCGGCGCTGGCATAGCTGACAGCTGCGTGCGCCGCAGCAGTGAGTCCATTGCTGCGCTGATGCGAGTGAGTGCCGTTCAGCAATGAGAACGTAGCATCGCTGTTGTTGTTGCTGCTGCTGCTGTTGCTACTGTTGCTGCTGCTGCTGCTGTTATTACTGCTGCTGCTGCTGCTGTTGCTGCTGTTGCTGTTGCTGTTGCTATTGCTGTTGCTGCTGCTATGCGGTTGCTGTGCGGGCTGTGGCGACTGTTTGAGGCTGTTGCTGTTGCTGTTGCTACTGCTGATGCAGTTTTCCGTTTCTGTTTTGTTGGCGACGGCGAGTGACATGTTTGTTGCTGCTGCTGCTGCTGCTGCTGGGGTTGCCGTAACGTGTTGCAGTTGTTCTTGTTATCTTTTATATTTCAGTTATTTAAATATATATATATATACCTATATATATATATATGTTTTACCCTTAAAGTATCCCTCGCACTTAGCTTAGTTAGGAAGCAGTTGAATCATTTGCAATGTGCGCTCCTCAAATTCTCCTTCAGCTAAAATTAATGTTTTATTGTTCAAGTTACGCTTCGGTTTTTCTCTTCTTTTGGAAGTGTTTTCTGGGGAAGTTGATTTAGTTCTTGTATTTTAGTTGGAACACACCGCTGCTAATTGTGCTTTAGCTTTAATTATTGTATTGTTTAATTGCCATTAGGTTTCACAGAATTTTACTGAAGTTGTTGCTGCTAGCGCCGTGAAACACTTCCATTTTCGCAAATATACATATATAATATATGCGCTATCGGCGTTCAGCTGGAAAACTAGAAAATTTCTAAAAGTTGAAGCTAAACAGAGTCAGAATCTAGAGTCCTGTCTCTCTTGTTGCCTGTATGTGTGGAAGAGATGACAAAAGCTGCAGAGCTGGTAAATTGTGCTGAAATGAGAGAGAGAGGAAAAAGGATTAAAATAATTACGAATTTCATTGAACATTGAGACAATCTGAGAAAATAGGGAAAAGTGAATTTGAGTGCTCCATAAAGTAGCGAAACTGTTTGCCATTTATTTTTAGCCGAAGCTGGAAATAGAAAGTGAGTTCAACATTCAATCGAGAACCCACATCACAAGCTGCTCGCCCGTGCCTGTCTATCTATCAAAGTGTCACACGAGGCGAGAGCCTGGGCCTAAATATAGACGTCTTTGACAGATCATGTGGCAAGTGCGTGAGGAAGCCCCAAAACGGATGCCATACAACAACTAAGCAAAGCAGACATCAATTTTGGCCAAATGACGTAGATGGTGGTGCGATTTTTATCCTTGGATGGCAGCCAGCAACAAACAAATTTCATGACGTCTGCAAGACACGAACTACACTCAACTGATGTATATACATTTATATATATATGATGTAATACATATGTACAGGCAGTTGGTATCCTTTTTGCCACTAGCTGCAACCGCAATTTAATTTAACGCACAATAGCACAAAATATGCAAAGCTCTTTAAAGACTTTAAGCCGCTTAGGTGGCCAATTGAGGAACTAACCAAACAGAAAAGCGGCTAAAACCACACGCTGCTGTCGATATCGATGGCAGACTACGAATGCGCACTCCGTTGCCTGTGAGCGGGCATTCTATATCGACGGAATCGCATCGAGTCGATTCGAGCACTCATTCAGCTTAACTGCTATACAAATACGCTACATCAAATAAAAAACCCCAACTAGTCACACACTGATGCGAGACACAAACACGCCAAAGCTCGACGCTGGACAACGCTGGCAAGCGGAGCTTGCAAAAGCTCACTAATACTAATGCAGCCAGCTAAGTGTGACATGAAAGCTCTGATGTGCATCATTTTGGAATTAAATGAGAACCTATAGGCCCCGCCAAAGGAGAAAAGTAACAGCTACAAATCAAGCACACGTCATCTGCCTAATAAGTTAGAGTTGTAAAATATTGAATGAATCTGTCAACAAAATGACGACAAGAAATGCAAATGTTGCTAAGTGATTGTTGTTTTGTTAAGCTCAAACAAAAATTACCATTTCGCTAGAACTGCGTGTGTTTGTTCTCTCTGTGTGAGTGTGTGCGCCTGGGCTAGACTGCGAAACGATTCCGTAACCCTTCTGGTCAGGAAACACACCCAGCTCTGAGGGCAGAGGCATTTATATCGATCAGAGTTCAAGTTGTCACACACATGTCAACAGCATCACATGTAAAACAGCATCTCCGCCGTGCAAACTTTGCACCTAATAGCCAAACGGGGAAATTATTGCCATCGTTAATGCGTTAGCTAATTACCGAAGGCAACAACAATGAAATTCAAATTAAACGCTGTTCAAATGTTGAATGTGGACAGGAACTGGGTACACGTCACATTGCGACGCATGGGTTTTTTCTTATCTGTCTTCATAGGTATGTATATATATGGAACATCTCTTCGAAATGCGGACATATTTGTCTGAAATGCGTCTCAAATTCAAGTCCAACGCGGAGGGCCAGCCCATGGCTTTCACTTTTAAATATCTAAATTCCGCAATATGTTGTTGTATTTTATTTCATTTTTTTTCAACGTATTTAAATTTGGTCATTTTTTTTTTGGTTAGCCAAACTTTCGTTTTCATTTGAGGTACAGCAAAAAAATCTATTTCCAGAGAGTTTAGAGAGCTAGAGCGAAAGAGAGGGAGAAATAGACAGAGAGAGGGAGACTTGAATTTTTTCTGTTGTTGATTTTTTAGTTTTTTTCTCTTTGGTCATTTGTATTTTATATTTCTTTCACTGACGCAGCGTTTATTTTTATTGTTGTTGTCGAGTTAAGAAATGTGTTAAATTGGCACAGCTCTTTCATGATATTATCGAATCATATCCGCTGTTTCGAGTGCCCATCAACTACCACTACAGAGACAGCTCGCTAGCTGCCGCATAATTAAAGTTTAAACACCGCTGACTGATACGGAGTGGCTCTCATCACGTAACTGTAAATTTATCAATGGACCTTCCCAGGGAATCCAGTTTTACCATTTTCGGTCAGCCCCAAAGCGCAACTTCTTCTTCCGCCTCATATTCTAAAGTGAAATTTCTTGAAAATCAACTTTTTCATCGCATGATTTGGCGCTCGCCCTCTCGCTCTAGCACGCTCTCGCTCTCGCTCTTACGCTCTTTCGCTCTGCGACTCTCTTGAGAGCGACTTTAAAATTCGCGCGCTTAAGCAAAGGCAGAGCCAACATGAACCGCCGCACCACTGCATCGCCTCAAAATCGAACCACACCTCTGCGCGTGTTAACCAAACATGAAGACCAATCTGTAGCTGCAGTATTTCGTATAACTGTGTATGTACGTGTCTCCGTGTGTGTGTTTGTGTGTGTGTGCGTTAAACGGTAAACATTCAACCTGCCTTGACAAGGTAGTTACACTGTTATGCCTGTGTATTGTTTGACCCATTTCCTATAATCGTGCCGCATATCATCATCGTCAGCGTCATCGACTTCGACAACGGCGACAGCAGCAACAGAAACAACAACAACAACAGCAACAATAACAACTGGCCCTGGTCTTTCATAAAACCCAAGCTCTCGTCTTTGTCTGTCCATTACTTGGCTACATTTTAGGCCAATACCCTTGGCAAAAATCAGACAATAGCCGCTTAATCAACAGCTCTGTAACCCACAGATACTCTTTCTCTATTAATTAGTAATCTATATAAATAGATTAATATTTAAATATAAACAAGATATATATCATTAAGGCTCTACAATTCAAACTATTTTGTTTTTCTTCTAATAATCTATTTACAAACATTCCTTGAACTAATTAAATTCCATAGTTATATTAAATATATTTGCATTAACTGCCTTATGTTAAAGGTTGAAGTATAAATATAGATATTCAGCAAGCGACAACTAAAGAACATTTATCGCCAGCGATAAGACATCTATAGATTACTGTTTCACCTGACAATTGTGGACGTATGAATGAATATGCATTAAGATTATTAAATATTTGCATGTCGAAAACTGGTTTACTTCGCAGCTATTAGAAAGTGCAGTTAAAGTCAATAAATAAACTAATAAATGCACCTTTACTTAATTAGTCTCAGCTGGCTAAGCAGACCCTTAGCCAGCCGCTGAGTCTAGGGGTAAAAGTTCAACGCAAAACTTAATAGTTTTGGATGAATTGCGGAATTTGAACAAAAAACTTCATTAATTACATATGGTAAAAAAATAGTAAGTTTAATTAATAAATTTATGAGCGACTTCAGTAATAATAAAATTAAGTAAAATATTTTGATTGGCTTTTTCTTTCGTCTATTTTCAAATTTAAGTTTTCTTTCTATGCTGCCTTGCAGAGCATCAACTATTCGTTGGCTGAACTCAGACCGCATTTGAAGCCACTTTGCAGCTAGTTCTTGCCTGATTTTCTGGTTCTCTATTTCCAAGGGGCCTTGTTGCTTTCGGATTACATGGGATTTTCTTATTGTTGCTGTTTGGGTGAAATGCGGAAGAATTGCCTGACATATATCTTATGGACTTTGGCCATGGACTCTTTGGTCAGTTCTACTGGCGGTTCAAAAGGTGTCAACTCTTGAGACGCTGTTTGCTTTGGCAATTTTGAAGATTGTTTCAATCGGATGACGACGATGGAGATGATGATGACAACTACAAACGAAAGTTCAAATAGACATATTTTCACTTTTCGACAATGGGGCACATTATGTAAATGTAAGTCCCGAGCGGATGCTGGGCACAATATGGCATCATAATGGGTCTGTGCCCTCTATTCTATTGAACCTTTCGAGTCTGACGAGTGTCTCTCGTTGCTGTTGCTGTTGTGCGAGTGTGTTGGTTTGTTGTTTGTTATGTGTGTGTGGTGTGTGGTGTGTGCCGTGTACCCCCACCCGTTCTCGGGCTGCTTTTACAGTTATCGTAAGTTATCTATGCTTTGTGTGTAATTGAATAAATCTGTGACATCTGTGACTCTGTGCTCCGAGCTGAGCTGAGCTGAGCTAAGCTGAGCTAATCTGTGGCCACAGTCCTCTGCATCTGGCAGTGCCCATAATTTGCGCTTTTGATTAACAAACAAAGCGCTTCGCAGTTTACAGCATAAAAGTTAAATTTAAGTGTGTATAATGGGGCCCCCGGCTGAGTGAAAACGCTGTCGCTGTACACAGGCACAGGCCCCCTATCTCTGCCCGCTTCTTTCCAGCTTCTCAGTCCCCCAGTCCAGGCAAATTTTCAGTCCAGCCCAATTGAAAGTCAGCTGACGGCCTCTCAAAGTTAGATATTAAGTAATTTTACAATTAGAATTTATATTTATATTTATTTTTAGCCCCAAACATGAGCTAAGACTATATAATACGCGAACCTCCAAAGCTAAGAACAATGTCTACAGCACCAATTAAATCGTACCCGACTAATTAACCAAAAAAAAATTATATATATATATATATATATATATATATATATATATATGTATCACGCCCCCATCGCAAGTGATTTATGAAATTGCGTTGCAATTTTGTTAAATTGAAATTTATGAATTGTAAAACAGCACGTGAGATTGATTAGAGCATAGAAAAGAAGATGTACTAGCAGATAAGAGGCTGAGCAACCCGAGGAATTATAATGCCAGACGATTTTCGGATAAGAGTTGAGGCTCATGAACTTGCATAGAAAGTGCTTCAAGTAATTAACCTCCCTTGATAATCAAAATAGACAGGAAACTCTTATGAAAGCTAGAGGGGCATACGTAAAGTTGTCTAGTACCCAGTCTAGATTTAAGAGTTCTTTGAGATTAGGCTCTAGAGAAAAGAGGAATACAAAATATTGACTAAAGAATAATGAGAAGTTTTATGAAACAGAAAAGCTTTATGAAAAAAGTATAATAGTAGAAGACGAAAGAACTTGGCAAATAACTAAATAATATTCAGTATTTACC